TTTCAGTCCCTGGGTATCTCTTAAAGACTTTTTTTTTATGTGATTGTGAGAAAACGTTTTTACACATTTTGCAGTAAATTTCTTTGTAAAGAATGTTGACAAGTAGTGTTTCACGTCTTTGTATGATTTTTTGGTGTCGTGTTCTTTTCTTACAGATACCTTCGAAAGACCAAAGGCATTCAAAAGATTGTAAGGATAGCAACAGATCAGAACAGGGTATACTCACCCCGTGTCATAAAAATAGCCAATCAGGTACAGACATGATTAAGTTCATTAACTCATTCGCTATGAGAAACCCAATGTTTTGGGGAAGTCAGTTTGTGTTCCTCGGTTTGTCTCATTCTTCCAGATCGAAAGAAAGATGTAATTTTACTTTGCTTTTGTTTTTTACCAAGGCTACTTATCTACCGGGTTTAATATGGTATCAGATTTTCAGATTGCACAGTTTTCTTTTTCATTTACCCATGAAACTAATGGAAATGTGGCGCGCAGCACTCTTTGGCACTGAGCAACAAGATTCGGCGGCAAATATTTGTTCTTAACACTCTAGAGCAGTTTGAATATACTAAAGACCTTGCTACTTTTCTGCATGATCATTTAATTGACAGTTTGATTTGATTTGGTGATGCTGATTGTCCCTTTATCAAAAACGCGCCGAATGGGTTAGAATACAGTACGACCAATCTGAATACTTTTAGTAACGTCTGTTTTGTTATAGGTATTAGCCAACCTTTGGAGCCATAGTCAATTACAACAACAAATGAAGAATGAAGGCTGGCAGTACGATGCGGAACTCGCTCGTGCCCCGATGGATTTCGAAGCCACCTCCTTGCCACGAACGCCCGACGAACGTAGCCGAAGGGATCCGAACATTCGCCGAATGGAAAGCGACGATGATCAGTGGCGAAACGGCAGTCGCCGAGCGAGAGATCAGTGGGATGGTGAGCCTTCTGGAGTGACAGACATCTCCTCAGAATCAGATAGGCAGCGCAGTTGGGGGGAGAGCTTGAATAACATCCCACCTCCTTATACATCTGATGACAACTATTCCCGGGGAAGTCGTTCAAGGGATGATCTCCCCATGGAGGTTATGTCGAGTTCACCAAGACCGTCGGCCTCTAATTCAGTCAGAGACGAGAATGAAAACTCCAGTGACAGGACTTTTAAGTTGAATGGTAGTGGGGGTGGGGGTGGAAAGAACGAAGACTTGTGGGTGTAAGACTGTTGCCCCTAAAGACTTTATATGGAGTAGAAATGTTTGAATTTTCTCCTTTTTTTGCAAGGTTTTTGTAGTACCATTAGATACGAACGCGGGGATACTTTTTTTTCCACTTACTCATTGAGTACGAGGAATATGTCATCTAAAGTTATTTAATTTTATTTGATCTAAAGATGGCGACTCGATTTTTCTGCTCGTTTGGCACAAGAAAAACATATTTTGAAGTGAACACCTATTTACGCTGAGCTACAGAGACTATACTTACCTCCGAGAATATAGCATGTTTCTAACAGCATGTTCCAATGTAAGGCGATCAATTTCAGGTCATGTTCACGGTTAGCGACTTTTTCCAGAGCATTATTTCCTTTTAAATTATTCACGGCGTCCGTGGTTTTTGTTGCGTCATAACAGTCCTGAAAATTGGCTGTTTTACATAATTACAGTAGACAAAACCCGTGACATTAAACTTTATAGCGTTTGCCTTTGTTCGTTTTAACTGATTCAAGGACTTGAATTTTATGAATATTGTGTATTGAAGCTTTTTCAACTGCATTCGGCATATTTATTTTAATTTTCGAAGTCTTAGCTGCTGTTTTTAGCTTAAATTGTGCGAAACTCATGAAACAGGCGATACTGTTCTTTCCCAAACCGAATAAAGATAAGCATGGAAACTAGGCGTTGTTTATCCGCCATTAATTCAGAACATCTTAAAATGCTACAGTTTGAACAAAACGATGTCTACAAAATATGACACGAAATGAAAGTTAAACTTGAAAAACGCCTACTGTTCAGACTGACGACCGACGAGCTGAAGGTATACGCTTCGTTGCATGAATAGTCTTTATTCAAGTGTATTTTGCACGAGACGAGTTTGATGAATGTGTTCCTCATGCCGCTCTTTAAAATTGCAATGTTTTTTATATATAGTATTCATGTAGTTGTTACTGCGGCATTTCGTATGTCACTTCTAAAATTGTGTTTAATTTCATGACAGCACAGTAGATGCTTTGTACAAAAAAAAAAACTCATTAGAATACGAGTAAGTTTGTAATGTATATTGTATTTAGTGTAGATCGATACAATATTTTAAAACGAATGATGGCTGCAGCGTGGTACTCTGTGGCTAGGTTATTTTGTAGTATTGGTAATATTTGTGATTGTTAACTTGTGCTTTGCTCATGTAGTTCTTTAATTGAATAATAAACATGAAGAATGTTTATAAGTGTTTCAGTTGTACTCAATCTTCCTAAGAGGGAGTTTTCTCAGTCTTTTTTTTTCAGAGGAATGGATTTGTCTTTCGGGAAGCTGCAACTGACACGACCAATCGCAAGATCTACCTTAAAAAATAGATTCAAGCTCCCTTGCGACTGTCCAGTAACAATATTTCAATAATTGTACGTGTGCATTTAGAGGCCTTCATTGTAAGGAATATATCAGATGCGAACACGAGCGAGGTTAACCTGAATCATGCTAGTATCTTGTTTAGATCACATGCAGCATGTAAGACATGTTTTTATATTTTCGCAAAATCAGCAGAAAAATAAAACGCATATATACTCACGGGTGCGAAATTTTTAACCAAGGAAAGCACCGTTTAACGAATCGTGGGTCCAGATTTTATCTGAAAAACGTTGGCTCGACGGATCGAGAAAAAAGATCGAGGAGATCGGTAGATTTGAAGACCCCTATTATCTCGTTCTATGTACAAGGGAGAGTCCAACATAAGTCTGGTAGGATGCAGGATGAGGCTTCAAATCGTGGCGGGATGTGGAATACGAGATATGTTAAAGGCGAGATGTGGGATGAAAAAGGAAGGCGAGACCGGGATATGACCAGAATTTGCGAAATTTAATATCAGTATCAATATCCAAATATAGACTGTCAGAGAATTTCCACGTTACATGATAACACAAGTTGAATATACTATTGTATACTCCAGTATTCACAAGGAGCAATTGTAAGGGCGTCTAGCTTATTCACGGCGTTCCAACATTCCTTAGAGACTTGGGCGTTCGCCAAAGAGATATTTGGATGTGATAGTGGAAGGCTAAGAGGTTAACCCTTTAACTCCCAGATCAAATTTGTAATTCTCCTTACGGTCAACCATACAATTTTTATAATGTCAGTTCAGAGAATTTCATACTGGATCAACTAATTATCCCCAAATTTATATTTTTCTTTATTCTCATCACTTATCTGGTTGATATTGCGTTGATATCGCGAGGAGAAATTCTATCTTGGTCACTCATAGGAGTTAAAGGGTTAAGCTAACTGGCCGTAATGGCAGAGAGATTTAAAGCCGAAACACAGGACGTTTAAAGGGTGAAAAACAAGAAAAGTGCAGAGGCTTTAAACGTGTCAGCCATTTTAGAGCCAAAATGTTATAGCGATAGATGTGATCGTGGGTTTATCAATTTGTTCCGTCGTGGACCCAAAAGCTAATCAGCATGGCACGACTCAAGATGTTAAAAATACTATTAGGGCACTGAATCTGCCAACAAGAATTATAAAAAAAAAAGCGTAAAACTTAGCCAATTGATAAATTATTTATCTGGCGTCAATAAAAAATAATCTTTTGAAATAGATGAATTTGACAGAAGAATTGCAAAGCAACCATTTGAAAATTGAAATATCCTCACACGGCTTTTTGCCTTGTTTTTGAAATTTGATCAAAGATACTCAATCATTTTTCAGCTTATCCTTTTAATTACATGACAAACAATCGCTGACAACAGATCATGCGATATTTATATCTGTCTGCCTCATCTTAACAGTGGATTTCCGATATTAACAACACAACTAATCAAGTTATTACCCCAGTCCACACTCCTGAAAACACGTGCCCTCAAGGGAAATCTAAATCTAGGGAAACCGAGATCGGCTAAACGGGAATTTGAGTAACTAGGAGCTTGAAGAAAAGAGGAAAACTACTGTATTTCTTTCCATTTTCATCAAAGCATAAATGCGTTACCAACATCACATCTGGTAGAATGATTCCCAACAAACTCTTCCAAATGGGCCAAAATTGGTCTACCAGGCTACCAGAAACGCTAAAATTATACATATGCATCTTCAATGTGCACATACATTGAAGGAGACTTTAGAAGTGGAAAGAAGGACTATTCTTTTCAAGCGAAAATGCTCAAAATACGGCTATTTTAAAAGTGAAGCGCCTTACTGGTATCTATGAGGCACGGGTCGTTGAAATACAATATGAATAGTGCTTTAGTTCGTTTGTCTTGCCTGTAAGTTCATAATGACATGACATGTTTGTTGATCCTTCAAGTGTCATCGAAATTTCATCATTTCATGGCCTTTGACAGACATTATGTCATACGATATTCCCCAGGAAAGCCAGCCATGTCATACGCCTAAAAATTCTACCTCTAAAAGAAATTTTCTGAGCCTTATTTTATTGAAAAAATTACCTAACTTGACGTTTTTGCAGCTGAAAGTAAGACCTTTTCACCCTGCAGACAGCCCCCGTCAAGTGTAGGGTATACACACCAGGGACCTTAAGCAAACCTAGACGGCGACGGCAACGAGAACATGACAAAACAAAAGATATAATGGACAGAAAAACAGCTCAGCATGTGCGTCTTAAAATACATATATTTCTTAGCCGTCCTCTGCAAAACAACAACGTGAAATCACCGAAATTTTCGCCGTCTGCGAACGGAAACCGCGGACAATATTTATTTTCCATTTGGATCTCAACGTTGTCTACATACGTTTTGCTGAGGTTGAGGTGTGGCGCCGTGAAAGACGGTAAACCCATGCAGCCATTTTCAAAAATTATAATTAAAAATATAAATTCATTTCTTAATGGACATCGTCCTTGGCGTTGCCATCCTATCTGCTTAAGGACCCAAATATCAATTTTTTTTTATCGGGTATTTATCAATTTCTCGTCTGAGCCAGTCCTACGAAATATGTAAACAGAGCAGTATCATCCTTATAGAGAGGTTAGCTTGTAGCATCATCAATGAAGTCACTGGTAAGTATTAAACGAGTACACATTGTTGAACACTAACATGGCGTGAATTTTTAACTTTTACTCCTAAATATAAGTTTCTCCAGTTGCATCGTGGGAAATTCCACGCAAACAGACACGATGAAGGCTACTCCGTATGAGATGCCAACGATGCCAACGTAGCGAAAGGCCTGCGAAAATACAATTATGGAAACAAGAAATCACCTTAAGGCTGGTTTCCGATAAAAGAGCCGAATAAGATTCAATTCACATTTGTGTCATTTTCCCAAATCTTATTTGCTATTAGACTGAGCTATAACTATGGACCACACTTTCTATCGGTGTTACCAGTCTAATATGTTGGGAGAACACGAGAAAGGTTTGTAAATCACGGACCGGAAACGAGTGATTTACAAACTAAATGCATGGGTTTACTGGGCAATAAACGACGGGTTTTTCACAAATCAGGGCGCTCGTAGTATCTATAGAACATAGTTTTTTTTCCTTCAACATACATGATACAAATTGGATCGGGTTTCCGCAGGAATTAAAGTCATAAAGGATAGGAAATAATGTTCAGTCGTGTTCATTTCAGATTAACGATCGAGTTAATGCATTTTATAATCCATCAAATAGTACTGCTCCCACACGATTGGTCTAAACGCGTCACAAAACCGAATATACCCCAGCTGAAACAAGGGGATATCCGATGATATTACTCAAGCGACATTCCCCAATGTCTTAACTTAACGTTCAATACGATAAAAGTCTTCGAGAGAGTATTTTACTGTTGGTACAAAAGAAAGGACACTTTCGCTGGTTCATAAAGTCGTATCAGAAAACACTGAAAAGCAAACATCCAACGAAATAAACTCGCAGCTTTCCTCGAGCTTCGTTGTCGGAAAACTGTTCGCTTCTCGGAACAGATAATGCCCGCGGACAAATATCCGAGCAAATGGAGGCTAACGTTTCGATGATAGAACACTAAGCAAAGCCATCACAACACTGAATGAATTATTGCTGTGGAAGATTTTCTATTAGGATGAAATGTAGGAGAAAATTTGGAAGAATGCTACTCACCATATAAGCATCGGAGTAGAACCAAACAGACTCAAATCGCGCGTACAGATTCAGAAGAACGATTATGTGAACAAGATAGGCACAGTAAGTTAAACGACTCAAGGGAATCCAGAAGCGAGCGGACAAAATCCTGTTCACCAAACCTTCAGAGTTAAAAAAAAGAAAATCAAGAAAAGGTATTACAGTCATTCTCTATAGCCATGTGCGTGTGTCTGACTAAAAACGTTAACTTGTTAACTTACCTCCGAGCCCACTTTGACATGCGAAAATCACCCAGGCTATAGCCAGGCTCCATGCAAAACGTTTTAAGATCCCGTATGCGATTTCTTGGGTGGGAGAGAAAGGGTGAGGATTGTGCTCTCTTACAGTCTTGTACTTGCCATATAAAGAGGACACAGCGAGAACGATAGCCAGACACCAGCCAGTCACATTAAACACGTATTTTTTGACCTTGATAGGGAAAAAAAAACAGTCATCATTACAAGGATTCATGAATACCCACAGTGTACAACTGAATTTCGACGCAAAAATATTGATCTCGTGACTAAACAAAAGTCGATAACAAAAATTGGCGAGAATCAGTGAAGAACGAGTGACAACTCGTGGTAGGCTTTGGCCATGAAACTAAGTCCATAATGACAAACTTCCTGCATACTTCTAGGATTAGAATGTCGATAAGTGTTGGTCCTTAACCAAGGCAGCTTCGTTCATCCCCTAACGAAAATATCAACATAGAAAGCCACGAAAAATTAAATAATGCTTGGCTTTGCTTAACTTGATCACTGGCGTTTTTCTGCGCTTAAGGCAACGTACTTCTTGTTCTTTTACATAGTGCGTCATGAGCGTCTTGCATTGGGTCAGCTGTACACTCCGACTTCTCGCTAATTTGCCGCCTTTTTGTGATTACGTCGGTTTTGGTTTTCTGACACTCAATAAAAAAGTATATTATTTCTTCTTTCAGCGTCTGCTAAAAAGGAGAACAATTATACCATAATGACTGCATCACCTTTGTGAGAAGCCTGTAGTCCTTTGTGTGATGAAAAAAGTAGCCCAACACCATACCAACAAGGTATGACGCGATACGACAGTAAGGCTTGGTGTAGACGAGAGCAAAGTCATCACTGCATCAGAAATAGAAAATATATTATTAAGGGACCGATTATTATTTATCGCCTAAGGGAGGGGGACACGATCGGAGGATTTGGTTTTGATACGATAAACTTTACCAGATCCCTCGATAAGATTTATTATTCCCACTCAATGGCAGTTAAATGGAAGTCAATTTTTCCCCTTTATACTATGTTTACGACGGCCAATCTTCCTCATTTCCCCATGGAAACTATGTGATTTTCCCAAAAAATCCCCCACACCCCTCCCTCCCCCAGGCTATTAAATAATGACTGGTGTCCAAGTACCGCTCAGCCATATTCATGGAATGAATAACCTTGACAAAGTGCTAAATATAAAGCAAAGAGAAGATTCTTACTCTGTAAGATCATGAGAAGAATAAAGCGTTCCTGTGATTGCAAAACTGGCACATGACAAGACAGCAACAATTGCAAGCAGTCCTCGAAGGCGCAGCCTAAAATTTAGAAAAAAGAATCTAATATTAAATCGGCTTAAGCTTTGGAATAGAGGTAAATAGTGATAGACTGTGCTCGCTAAGAACACCAAATTTAGTGGAGTTTCCGTATCCTTTGCTTAAACGAATGCGATGGAAGATGTGGAACAACCGCTGGCCTTACTATCCACAGTTTTAGCTTCATGCGTCTGCGGCAAAGTTACACGCAAGAATACTATAGGGCAAAGAACAAATGCATTTGACTGACTTTGAAGTCGTTTATAAAATCATAAAACTACTCCTTAAAAGTAAAAAATCTCGACTGCAAATTGTCATGAAATCAATTTTAGAAAGGTATTTTACAGTTGTTTTTCTTGGACATTATCTGTTCCTTGAAGCTCACAGTTTTCCTCGAGCGTCCCTCTTCGCATATTTTCGCGCCGAATGGCGGCTATTGTCGATCTATTTACTTGGAATCACTAAGTTGCAGACAACAACTGTTCATTAGTCACTAGAAGGAGGAAAAAATATTCAAGCCAGAGGGAAAGAATAAAACATAAAAATTATCGTGAAAGTTCCATCGATGGATTGTGTTGGATCATCAGCTCGTACCAGTAGGCTATGAACAAGATCACAGGGGCAATGGTGTAAAACTGCATGTCATTGGCCAGGTACCATGACCACATCATACACTGCAGAGGAAAAACAAAACACAGTGTAACGTTACACAAAATTTATCCAGAGTTTTTAAGAAAGGTAAAGGTAAAGCTTGTACTCCAGCTTATTGGTCTACCCAGCGGAGTTTATCCCGGTTTTTTTTACCATGGATGGGAAGCTATTCCATCGCTAGACTACCCCCTTAGTATTTAAAAGGCTTCCCTGATTGTTCAGCCTTTAAGCCTTTTTTACCCTTTTTTAGAGTGCAAAACTCCTGGGTAGAAAAAAGGCACTGTGAGAGTCAATCGTTTTCCCTAAGAACTGCACAACACATTGATCTGGCGATCTCAACCCAGAGTCCAGCGCACCTACCAACTGATTATATTAAAAACTTATCCACAGATTCTAAATGACACTTTTGATTTATCATGTTCTCATCAAAATTGAATCTCTCACCTTTATTTCGCAAAGAGTAGACAGCTGTGCAGCTCAGCACAACAAAGATGTTTTTACTTAAAGTTACATGTAAGATGTCTCACCCCACCATCAACTTTTGGTTTGGGATAGAAGTTGTTGATGTAGAGAAGATTTGTCCACCAGTAATTGTTACAAAGTGATTTTCCTTGTACTAAAAACCATCCAGGACCCTCGCCGAGAAATTCACTTATTTTAACGTAAAAAAGCAACACAAACATGTAGGTTGGAGTCAACCTGCGAGAAAGATTATAAGCACATGACTGAATATCAGGGAGGGGGGGGAAGTTTTTTAAGAAACTACGCTGCTGCGTCGGTGGGAGAGTATGAGAAGGTAACTTGGTCTTACCAACTGAGTTGATAACGAAAGTTGGCCACCGTAGAGAATTCAAAAGCTGAAGAGTGTCAGCCCTTTGTCGCTCTGACGAAGGGCTAAGGCTCGAATCGTCAGCAATGAAACTCTTTACTGTGGCCAATTCACTGAATATCTTTCGAGAAGACTAAATATAGAACCTTAACATTTACTTTACATGGCATGATGACGGAAATAGTGCTGAAATGTCTATTTACTCACATTTACAATCGATTTTGTCGATGCTCCGTCGTTAAAAAGTGATTGTATCTTTTTTCTTGGAAAATTGTAAAATTTGTACGTTTCCTGGAATTTAGTAGCCAAGGGACAAGTCATTATTCATCACCAGGGGGGATCGGAGGACTTTTTTCGGGGGGGAGTGTCAATAAGGATAAAGAGGGAATACAGAAAACTGACTGCCAATGAAAGGGGATCCTTAGAAGGCGGGGATCAGGTAAATTTTATTGTGACACAACCAAAACCCTCGCCCACCCCCCCTCCCCCCCATAGATAATGACCGTCCCTTATCTCTAATTAACCGGTTAGCCTCTTCGGAACAGTATCTTGTACATAACAAGGGTTAACTTAATTTGACCATGTATGACTTGGATACGTTGAAATTAAAACGCAATGTATCTAAATGGTAGAAGAAGGATGTAGGAGAAACCTACCTCCAAATGCGATGAAAATAGAAGAAAAGGAGCGGCAACTTCCCCTCGTTTTTGATCATGCGACGAAGTGACAAATAAGAAACTAAGAGTCCACTGCAGATGACAGAACAAAATCACTGAAATTTACCCTTTGAACTCTTATAACGGGTAGCGGTTGTGGCTATTCGTCGTAGAGCGTAACGTTATAATGAGGTACAATCATTTGCCTCACAATGTCACAACCGCTGTGTCTTTACCTCGGCAGACACACCATTTTACTTGTTCACAATATCGGTAAATCTAACCAGGATAAAATCAGTATGGTTCTTTTTATAGACCCTTTGATAAGTTCATAACACATAATTATAGCATTGCTAGATTTCAGCATAACATCTGTACTTTTAAAAATACTCAAGGGATACAAGCATAATGAAACTACTTCAAGTCGTCACCCAGCGCTTTTCAACTTTAAGAATACCTCCAGATGGGTTTTGTGAAGTAAAATTATATTTGGTGATATGGCTAGTCGTCCGTTACGCGATGCATCATATATTAGTGGGCCACTAATTTCATCGTTCAACCCATGTATATCGAGTTCATATTGACATTCTTCAAGTTCTTCAGATTCAAATGCCGGTATAGAAAATTATGAAGAAGCCACAAAATTTTCGAGTTGCTGTGACAACCAATGACAGAAAATCGAATAGGAGAGTTTGACTGATTCTGCTCTTCAATTCCGTGAAGAGAGAGGAAACATGGAAACGAAAAAATGTCGTAGTCGTGTTCGGTTTTTATTTTAAATTTTTCTGTACTTTTTTTGTCACCTACAGAAAGAGCGACAATGGACGGCAAATCCGTTGTCTCCCAAGACTACAGGGAATCGGAAGTTCATAACATACAATGCTTACCTTAGGAAGAAGAAGGTGTCAGTTGAAAGAGTTCCATTCCTGATCAGTTGAAAAGTGAAACGTTGAGAAGTTCGCTTAAGTGAGTTCACATTACCTATAAAAATAACAATAGTAGGAGGTAATTCAGAGCATGCAATGACTGAGATTCTGTACAGCTACCATGAACCCATTCATTCAGTAACAAGGCTCGTATCCTGCAAGAAGACTTCTTATGGAGGAGAAGAAGTTGAGAGAGAGAGAGATGAAATACTGGGATGTGGTATGTGATGAGACGTCAAGCGTCTGATGTGGCTTGGGTTCGATTCCTGGACCTAGTGTCACGTGTTCGTTGAATCTTCTAATGGTTTTCGAATCAGTGGACGATCAACCACTGAATGGGTTTACCACTGCTAAATTAAACTGGTTATCCATCTATTATTCATCTCTTCATTAATTAATCAATTTGATTTTAAGAGAAATATCTTGAAAAGTACTTTTTATGATTGCTTTCATAACAAATTAAAATGCAGCAGAAGTGAAAACTTAAGAAAGAAAGAAAAAACATAATGCTGCGCAACAAGAAGTGGCAATTACTCAACCGTTATAAGCTCATTGTCTGGGGGAGGGGGCGATCAG